CGGAGTTTGGAGTGGTAGAGTAGCAGATGTAGAATGCGGCTTTGCCCAACGTGCCATCCGATACATGTCGACGTCAGTTGTGGCTTCGGAGAACTTCCGCCGCCAGTACTGGCGTTTCGTACTTCTGACTATGCGACGGAAATCCTTTCTGCTCTCTTCGTCCCTGAATATCCTGTATTCGCGTTTGGCTTGTGCGCACTCTATCGTCCACCAAGGTGCCGTCCTGCCCTTCTTAGCACTCCCGCGTCTTCCGGTAGCCCTAATTGCATCGCTAATGGTTTGGACCAGCTTATCAGCGAGGTTGTCTACCGCGCTTATTGAGTCCATTGGCTGTAGCCCTATTCCATGAGCCCATCTACCAAGTACCTTGGCAAAGTCTTCCAGGGCGTCGTCTGTCACTCGGAACGGTTGACCAGTTTTGATTACAGCTCTGGCTTTCGTGTTTGGACGCGGAACGTCTCCCGCAAGAGTTCTGTGGTCCGATGTCGAGTCAAGCTCTATCGAAATATCTGCGAGGGCACCAGCGTTAGACCAGACTAGGTCGAGTGTGTTTCCAAAGTCGTGTGTTGGGACGCCCGGTGTGGAAGATAGGTCCATGCCGTGCTCGAACATCCACTCGGTGAGCACCTGGCCGTCACCGTGTAGCCTAGTAGCCATTGGCTGCCAGTCGGTGTGAACAGCATTGAAGTCTCCGCCAATAACTGTAGGCCCAGATGGAGCCCATGATAGCAGCGGCAAAAGGTCTGCTCCAGGAGCGCGGTATACGGAGACAAATGTGACTCCTTCTACCTTTACTGCAGTGAGATCTGGTGATGTCTCGCAGATTGCTTGCTGTTGGTAGTTGATCCCCTTTCGCGTGTAGATGAGGGAGCGTGGCCTTGAAGAGTTGGCAGCGGCATGGGGAGGCAAATTCCTATCGAATCCGGGATGTGACTTGGTGAGCCAGAAGCCGTCCTTGTATTGAGTCCAGGGTTCCTGGATAAGTAGGACATCGGTTCCTGAATCCCAAGCGGATTGCAGGATGATGTCCGTAGCCGGGTCTCCTCTGCCCAGATTAGCGCAGAGGAACAATATTAGTGTTGCCATTTTTTGAAGCTCGGTTGGGTTGTGGTCCCTTACGGGCATTGAGCAACGTTTGTATTTTCGTTTTCGGCAGTAGCCTCGGTGGCTTTCTGCTTTGCTTCCATCTCTCTGATCGAAGCGTTCCGTTCTTTTTGACCTTGTTCGCGAATTACCGCCAGCTGGTCTCTTGTGCGCTGTACCGTTTTGCCAGCAACCCGCGTCGGCCTAGCCATGCAGTTAGGCTCGACGGCAGAGTGTGGTCCATGGCAGTTTATGCATCTCGGGATAGCCTGTTTGCAATCAGTGGCCTTATGCTCGACAGAGCCGCATCGTGAATAGCGTTCTGCTCGCGAGCAGATCTTTGTAGGGTGGTGTCCCCAACATCGGTTGCATTGAGCAATTTTTGGCTTGCGCTGGAGTTCGTGCAGTCGACCACTTTCTTCAAATAGTCGTTCACCAAGATTTGGTTTTCCTGTCGCATAATGTAGCACCCAGTCTGTTGATGGCCTTGCCATGCTAGTCGCAAAAGCGCGAGCAGATGTTGGTCTGACGCCGGTCTTGAGGGTGGCTTCTTCGATCACCATTTCTGGCGTGACTGGCACTGGTCCCTCGAGGGTATATAGCCTATCTGGAATATTGGGTGCAAGCACTGATATCCAATTGGACGCGGCTTCCAACTTCATATCAGAGCTGTCAAGGGTATTCGCTCCTGTCAGTAGCGCGCTTCTTGCTCCTTCCCCGTCAGCTTGTATTGCAAATCCAGAATTCACGACTGCGACTTGTCTGATCGATGAGTTAGCCAGTCGTAGTTTACTAGCCAGGCTTATTTTTATGAAATGTGCAGACATGCGTCTCCACGGGTGATCCGGTTTGAGCCGTAAGAATACGCGCTCGTCAGCTTTTTCCTGCATCATTGCTGATGCCTTGGGTTTCGATGTGGGCGTGTTGCCAGTGGTTGTTTTTGTGGCAGCTGTGGTTGCTGGCTTAGCCTTTTTACGCACCACCTCTGTCCAGGATCTCTCGGGAGTCTGGTTGGTGGTTTGTTCTGTCCCATGGGTAGGGATTGGTGTTGCAGAAGTAGCGGGTGATGTGGCTGCTCCTAATCTCGTGTTTTCCCTGGCGAGGATCTGTACAGGACGCACGACGCTCGCAATAGTCTTCTTCCTCGACTCTTTAGCTGTCTCGAGGCGAGGTTTGATGATGTGGCCACTTGCAGCTTGAGCTGGTGCTGTGGCTTTGGGGGTGGCTGCATTGCCCCGCAGAATTTCTGTGATCCGGCTTTGAAGAGCCAAGCCGGTGAGTTCGATGGCATGTCGGAACTCTTCGTCTGTTGTCGATTCGAGCAGGTTGCAGTACCCGCTGACGATGCGCTCTGCTTCCGCAAAACGTTCCTGGAAAGCCCTCGCTTGTTCGGCGAGAAAGTTGGTCATGTTGACGGCCGTGGGGTTTGGGCTCGGGTTTGGAGAGTGCTGTTGACTCGCGCAGCAGACTGAGTCTGGTGTGGTGTTGTGTGGTGTAGGCGGTAGTGTGTATTGTGGATCGTTGAGATCCATTTCGACGTCCTGGCGCGTCGCGTGTTGGGTGGGGAGAGGTGGCCAGGAGCCAGCCTCTGCGGAGGACTGGGGCGGCATAGGTGATTGAGAAATGTGAGTGACAGTAAGATGTCGTAAATGGAATGCAATATCGTCACTTTGGATTGCGAAAAATTGTGTGGGCCCTACTTAGTAAGTTATATGTGTGTGTGAAATCTGTGTGTGAATGTCCTGCTGTGGCGAACAGCTGGTCAGACTCTTTTTGGGGGCGGACAGCTGCTCGGACTCTTTTGTAATTTCTAGGTGTTTTAGTGCGCGCTAGAGCGTCGGGTAGTTCTTATTTATTTATTTATATTAACGTCGTGCCTGCGCACAACACAGTGCTTTAAAGCCCCATGCCGGTTAGCTCAGCCTATAAAGGGCTACCCGACGCACCGGCATTCCCATAACAAAAACCCGATAAAGACCCCACTGCTCCCGGTCCGCATAGTCGCCAGATCAGTGAGACTCTTCTTAAATTGATATAAATTATATAATTAAAAGCGGAACTTAAACTACATGTGGATATTCGTATTTAGATAGCGTTGGTGTCTAAGTAATCAGGGCTGTCCTACAAATGTAGGTGCAAACAGAGCTTCCCCAATTAATGGTACCTTTGAAACTCTTCGAAAAAATAGAGTGGACTTAAGCCAGTCTCGGAACAAGATAGCTCCTTCTGGTGAGCTTAAAATCCAGCGAGCGTCTGGGGGACGGGGGCGATTGGCACCACGAAGCCGCGCCTGTAGTAGGCCATGTTGACAGGTCATGAAATGCTCCGGCGATTTATCATGTCCACAGGAACATGTTAAAGGTGCGCTGTTGTGTGCGAAACGACGGTGGTATGCTGCAAAATCACCATGGCCAGACCGCGCAGCGAGAAGAAGGCCAAGGGACCGGCGATCCATACTAGCGAGCTCTGGGGGCGTCGGGTAGTTCTGTAGGGACTGGGCCGTCCAGTACGTGACAGTAGTCACGAGCTGTGGATAGGCACGACGTTAAATTCAATCAAATCAAATCAAATCCTGTATGGCTAGCGTGGTTGGAAAAAGTAGATTTTACCTGTAGAGAGATAAAGACGTTGTAGGCCTCCGATAGTTGGGAGAAGTCTTCTACCAAATTATATCGAAATCAATCCTAGGCTCTCATTAAGTAAGCTCATGAATCCACTTCTGTGTCTGTGATTACAGACCAATCTACAAAGTCGACGATCAAGTTTAAAGTTGATAAGATTTAGCTCGGATGCTAAGCTCTGTTTTGTAAATTAGATATGAGTGCTTGAGGTAGGAAGAAGATAGACACAAATACACCCCTTATCTATTAGTATTTTTGAAGTTATTGAACCGAGCGAGCCCCGTTGTACCAAAAGTATACGCGCGTAAGCGAAAAAGCCATAGAATATATTCAAAGTAGTAATACAATTGTCGGAAAGTCGTTCAATTTGCTCTGCATTAAGTGTAGTGCATCTCTCAGTTGCTGAGTCATTGTCTCGATGGCTCATCCAATACGACAAACTACACGTTCGCAATATTCATAGATGGAGAACATAATACAAGAATCCATACCTCACTTTCGTACCTTTCGTTTTGCATTGAACTAACCTTACGTATACGTAAGTTAAGGCCAATCGACAACAACTAAATTATAATAAATTCGTTCTATCTGTTTTAGCCCCTTTGGTGTCACGTAAGAATCCCAATTGAATATTACGGAAGTTGTAGTACTGTTGCCATGGCTTAAAACGTATTCCAACCACTATTATTAAAGTGTACATGACTACTGTTTCAACAAGAGTGTTGTATAATCTACTCATTATAGCCAAGTAAAAGAAATGATTCCTTGCTTGTTCTGTTTATTGGGAGGTTGGCCAATGTATGATAGCCCATGAGTCTAGCTAGTAGAGGAATAAGCCTTTTTTTACATATCATGTCAATTACGGTCTTCATTACCAACTAGAACTAATTTCAACAGAAAGCTATATAGCTAAATACTATGATTGAATTTATATCCTAGGATAATCAGCCCCACTTGTATAGCTGTGTGGTACATGAAAAGTAAAGAGTAAATGGCATGGGCTTGAGGGTTGTACTGTCATGCTAGTTAATCTGAGGGCCTATATTCAAATTATTGTTACTCTTCTTTGTAGCATCTCGATAGAGAATCTAAGTGATCTAGTCAAAATTAAAATGAGTCATCCATATTTACAAATACATATTAAGTGACTCAATAAAAGATAGAGTACATTGACAGAAACCTCATGTCCGAGCTCGCAAAATATGTTTCCGCTGTCGGCTTATAGCGTAGCCGGTGTCTGTGTGGATTCAAGTATAGCAATGATATAGTGATACAACACGCCCCAGCACACTATCTTCATGATGTACTTTTTAATATTTTTGGATCGATCTTGGAAAAAGCGGGCATTGTTAAGCTATTAATTTCAGCTACTTTGATAGAAATGGTTCGTCTCCATTCGGCCCTGCATAATATTGACCGACAAAGTTCGCCAAATCCACCTGAAGCTCCTGACGATTCAACTACTTTGTCCAATTTTTCGATTATTTTGGTATGTTTGCGAATAAAATTTAGGAGAGTCGCACCATTTTCTTTCTCCAAATCGATTTGCGTCTCTGGATACCATATTTCACTGCGGAGAGCTTTTTTAAAAATGTGAAGACGGCCAAAGTACCAAAGGAGCAGCTTGTTGGAATTCTTTTCTTTTAACAACCCATGTAGATCAGGAGTATACATTAAATCTAACAGGCTGGTAGGTTTATCCATGACTACCTTCAACTGTGCTTCGTTGTTTTGTGGAGCCAAGAATCGAAATGCCCCTGACACCGATATCAAACCCCGATAAGCCAAGCGGATAAGGTTATTAGTCGAACATTTATCTTCCTGACTTAGAGTCTTTGCTGATATCAGAGGTTGTTTGAAACCCATATCTTGATCAATCAATAATTTTTGCATGTAGTCCAAACAAGATTGATCCTTCGGATCAGCTGGTACAAGGCCTTGGTTATATTGTTCGTCAGTCTTCACGATATCGTCGAGTATCTCTGCAATTTTCACAGCCGAAATAGTTTTTGAGCAGTAAGCCCTTGTATTTGTACCCACTTCAACTTTATTTGAGAAGGTCGCAAATAAATCATATTCTAAATCGGGTACCGGGAACCCGTTCGGCATGAGATGGTCGTAACCGGCATAAAATGACCTACCGCCATCGCTACCGATTATGACTAGATGTTCCAAGTACTGAGAAGAGACAGTCGAATCTTTTTCCAGAGGTTTATTTGGGTTTAGAAATCTTAATATAAAAATAAAAGCGCAGGATATCATGGTCGGGTTGAGTTGAGGATGGCAACGTTTTGCCAGAGAACTTTTGGAAAGTTTCCAATCAAGTCTTTGTCGTTCGAGTTGAAGTAGTTCTCTAGATAATTTTTCTATGCTGAATTAGACTACGAGAGAAACGTTCTAAAGTGTGAGCGACTGACAGGGTGGATTTCAATTCTCTTCTTGGAAATAGTTAACTTTATGATGTATCACTCTGCTGATGCGATTCAGACGAGCTTGGAATGAAAAAATTATTCTCATTTTAAATTTGCGAGTCAGTCAGATTGGATCCAAGTAACATTATAGCTAAGATGAAATAATATTTAGAGTTACTCCTACAGAGGCTATAATGGTGATTCAAATTTTAGAAGACAGAATTGAAGGTTAGACCAGAGAGTTGCGTGAATAATACATGCATAGTCCAAGGAATCGCTGATCACAATAGATAACGACATTGGTTCTAGAATTATGATTCCTTGTAGTTTGCTCACTGTGTCTGGGTTTATCCAAACATTAGAGACCAACCAGCCAATATCGAATTGATCCCAGGAGGACTGGCTCTACCAAGTTGGGCGTATCACCATCTATTAGCAGCTAGAATTGGTCACGGAAACTTCATTTGTTATCATGGGAGGTTTTATCATGAAGGAATAGTCGGTTGATGCATGTGTGGCCGAGAAAGATGTCCCCGGATTTTCTCGGAATGCAAATTAGCGCTACAACAATGGTGAAACTCAATGCATGAAACAGCGCCCGATGGAAGGCCATTGTTGGAAGAGAATGGAGGGTAGAAATTTTATCGATTTCTAACCGTGACGAGTTGCTACGCTGAACATAGCTCTACCGAAGGGTTAAAGTATGACCAGGAAAACAGGTATCGCAGGTAAATTATGAAAAAAAAGTTGGTTAGTCGCAAGTTGTCGGGTCAGAGCAGATAAATTTTGTCTTGGTGTTTTGGAGTTTAAACCATGTAAATTTCTTGCCAGATATAGCCAGCATCAGTGGTTGCAGAGAATCCTCCGGGAACACGCATCCGTGTCAACCTTTTTGAGTGTAGGGCTTCAGCCTGATACATTGATTTAATCAATTCCATCAAATTTGATCCTCTCATTTGGGAGGACAAAGACTGAACATTTATCCACAGCGTCTGTTATGAAGATAGGATTGAAATATTCCCCACAATCCGAGTTGACTAAAAATTTGCAATAGCAAAGAAGTTGGCCTACGAGAAAATGATTAAATTCTTATAATTTTATTGTTCTATCTCAGTCTATGACTACATGGGATACACAAGTCCTCTCTGCCTACAGGCCAAGAATATCCATGTCAGTTGTATATTCCCTCCTGTATCTCCTTTGCAGCTCCCCTCAAACACTACCACCCCTCATAAGTCCTCATTCAATCATACACTTAGAGGAGCCCTTTACCCTTCATTATCTCCCCTCTCTTCCAACGAAACGATGGCCATCTGGGGTTATTTGGCAGCGGGGAAATTCTTCAAATACAACTGGGTGCGGGGTTCTTGTAATATTGACATTAGGACTAGATCCGAAGACACAGTGACCCTTCTGAAGCGTTCGAAGAGGCCGGCCAGCTGAGCGGTGCAGACTTGTGAGTGTCTCGGGTAATTGACACTCTGCTTTTCTAGCCTCCTTCCAACTCCTTCCCCGAAGACCGTGCTGAAATGTCAGAAAAGTTTTGACAGAGCATGATTGTCATATGGTTGCTTAGCCCAGCTTCTTTTGTGCCGTGAAGGGCCATTGGGAGCCCCGCCGACTTTTCGACAATGGAAGCTCTCCTGGCTAATCGGCGGAAATCTCGATTTTCGCGCCTACAAACGTTCCAAAATTGAAAGCCACTCGAAAATATCGGCCCGAGCAAAGTCGCCAAAGACCTCTTCCCTCTCTCGCTCCACATCTCAGCCGCCTGTTATTCCTCAAGTTGTTTGTCTCATTAGATCAGCAGTCCCCAATAAGCCAGGACCAGGCTTTGTATTTTTCAACTTGATTTCATTCTTGCGGATATAAAAAGTGTCGGAAATATGTAGTGAGAGATAGCTGGAAGTTAATGGGGTAAGCTCCTATTTGTAATTGTAGTAACACCTTTGTGGGTCGTGGAGGCGGGGTGGTGTGTGGTGTGTGGTGTGTGGTGTGTGGTGTGTGGTGTGTGGTGTGTGGTGTGTGGTGTGTGGTGTGTGGTGTGTGGTAAGGTTGAGGTAGAGGACCCCCGTGAAAATGACAAGACCGAAATTGATATGAAGTCGCCGATTATAGACGTGTTTGTTTTCTACTTCGCTTCGAATGCGATTCTTCTCGGCTAACCCAGATATGTAAAGTATACTGAGCGATCACACCGGCACACCTGGAAGGTGAAGAATTCGTCTTTGCCGGCGACAATGATTAAGTACCCTACGCCAAATCAAATCCTCTCTTCGTACCAGCGAACGAAATCCGAGTCGGGAGCGCTCTAATTGTGTATGGAGTCAGTTAGTCTTTACCTGGTTCCTGATATTGTGCCACAGTTAGCTGCACACATACACACAAAATCCGACTCAACAATAGAGCGCCACATCACTCTCATACAATCTCCTAAATTTCTCATGTGAGGCGTTCACACAAATAATGAATAACCGGTGCTGAGATAAGTTAAGTAAACCTTCAATTAATATATCTGAGCTTTTGCGAGCAAACGACTGGTGTCTCAACAATTGGGTAAGCTTGGCCGATGGACAGAATTGATCTTCATGTCCTGTACAGTCTATGAATGAGAAAGGACAATGATGAGTTGAAAGGGAAGTCAGCAGCCTTGACGGCTTGCTACCGCCCATCTCGAGACCTGGAGAGGGGCCAGCCTCTACCAAGTTAAAAATCTTAGGCGACTAAACATCTCCTCTGCAATGAAATCCTGACAGGTATCCAAGCAGTTTGGCAATTTAAACTCGCAGTGAGCACTGGAAGCTCAACTTGTTGTTTGTATGTTTGTTTTTTATTTTTCGTCCGTCGGGGCGCCAAACTTGACTTTGGTCCCTACTACCCACTAAACTTCCTAGAGGAGGGCAAGACTGAACACCTGCACGCGGTGTCCTCTACGAACCTAGGAGTGAAATATTCTCCCAGAGCCAAGTTCAGTCAAATTTCGCAATACCGAACAAGTTGGCCCACGAGGCAATGATTCAAATAACTCCACCACGTCAAATTTTCGTTACAAAAAAAAGATCGAATCCTACCTAAGCCTCATCAAGTCTACAAGTAAGACCTAGTACATTCTTATTCCAATGACCACAGCACTCTTCGACCTTCTCTGGCCTCAGCTGGTCACCAAATACACGCCCGCGCCGATATTTACACCCGACGGAAAAAGCAAAGCGTGGCGCACAAATCTGGGAGACTGTTCTTTGGGATGGACGTGAGAGGATTCAGGACAAGTTAACAAGATGATGCGAAGAATGGATACAGTCTCGACGGGCGTGGAGTTTTGAATTTTGGCATGGAGTCTTTACAAATTGAGCTTTGTGCGTGCCAAGCTTTCGGTTGCGAGAGTGCAGGCGACACTATAAATACTGCCATGGTTGGATGGTGCGGTGGTACATCGTCTTGGCCGGTCTGCCAAGTAGAGTCTGGATAGCTTGGACACATATCCCACTCGAGACAGTAGATCGCTGGTTCAAATCCAGCAAAACACAACTACATTCCTCGCGGCGCTAGTATGCATGGATGACGAAGGCATGCTTGGATAACCAAAGGTTCTGAAATTCCCTTTGGTGGATACTTACAGATGAGGGTCGACTGTTTGTGTAAGCAAAGATACCTCATAGTGGTATTTGCAAATGAAATCAAGAGTATGAGTTTCTCTGACGTCAAAAGAGTAATTCCACATGTATACGTAGCACCGGTCATGTGTCATAGCTAGATAGCTGAATACACATCATATGATTTTAAAAAAAAAAACTACCTAGAGGCATGGACGCCAGTGTGGGTGTTTTATTGTACTACTTGAGTCTATGACTATCTAGCACATTGGGCTCCTCTCTGACCCAGGCCACACCTTGTACAGTGTTCCTATCCTCTTTTGTTACTCGAAAGATCATTGATCTATTTCCCTTGATGAATAGCCATTCAGCTCAGTGTTTACCCGTTGAATTCAGCCACCTTTTCCACGGAACCTTCTACACAAAAAATGAAAAAAATGGTAGCAATGGAAACTGCGTGCGCGGGAAAAAGTCTCAAAAAACCTGTAGCCCTAGCCAGACGAGGCCTAGACACCGGAACCACATGAGGTGCGCATATTCATCTATATCTCCCTTATTTGTAACACTCGAGGTCGACTTGATCCAATCCACCATCTCCGTATCGGGTGCTGGGTACGCTCTAGAAACTTATTGGATGTAATCTCCTCCATGATCAAGGGTTGGTGATGAGTAGGGCTCCGACCCTACTATCTGATCTGATCGTGGATAGCTTCATGATAATGGTGATAGGGGGCAGTGTTGAGAGATGAAGACGATACAGACCGGGAAAGCGGTTGGGAATCCTCATCGAAGTGAGAACTCCGTTACTCAATCTCGGTTCTGCAGACTCCACAGTGAGAGCTGGAGGTTCGTAGGGGACACCACTGACAGGTGTTGAGAATAGTCCCCCGGCATGGACGCCAGTGCTTACTGCCCTGGTGGCTTCACCCTTGCTACTTCCTAACTAGGTTTGCAGGGCAATTCTCTAATTGCATGATTGCGTGTAGCATAGCACCTGCACTTTTTTAGCCAGTCCCCGAGGCTCTTTACTCATTTGATGTATAACAACCACTCTCGAGATACTACTACAAGATCCATTCATAAATACCGCACCATCCATCCATAATGCAGGGCTCAGAGTTGGGGTAGAGTTGAAGACCTATTTATTTCTTCTCTGGGGTTTCTAGGGCAGGTCTTTATAGGCTCAACTTGTCGTTATGTAGAAGAAAAGCAACCTGAGTAAGTAAGCAAAGCTATCCATGTGGCCACCATCCACTCG